AGAATACCCACATTTTCTGGCCAGTCCTTCCGTTTCAATTCGCTTACTTGTATGGCAGGTCAGGGCAATTTCTTTAGCTATCTCCGATCCTTCCCTATCCATTTTTCGGCAGAATCACCGGTATTCCTTGATCCGTTTGTTGATTGTCCTTCCCGTCTTTCCTATCTATTTTTTCTGCAGTTTATATTCTAAACGCTGGAGCATTCCATTTTCTTATTTTTTTCCTGTTGATTGGGCAATTTACATTACATTTCAGTAGTTTCGTTGGCAGCTTTCAAGCTATTTCGTACTGCCATCTGCTTATCACGATCTGTATGTTGCGTTTTATTACCGCTTTTGGATATGCGTTTGCAAGAAATATCTGATCTAGTTTAACAAGTTCGTCTTCCCAGAACTCAGAATCGGTGGGGCGTGGACTTCTTATGACTAAACTCATAATCATTCCAATTTTCATTTCGTAAGGAATATTTATGAATTCCTTCTTTATGAAAATCTGTTTTTTGAGCTTTCTTGAATCAAATGACCTATGCATTCATGATAAATTTGATTCTTCATACAGATATTTTGAGAAACTAGGGTTCTTACCCATGCTATCAGAATGCGGAGTAGTCAACCAGAAATCGCATAATTGTTAGCTGCCGAGGTAACCTTTTTAAATTCTCATTTTACTCGTTCATATAGGCAGTAGACAACAGAGGTGAGTGGTCTGCCCATAGGCAGACCAAATATTTATTCGTAAATGTGGCTGTTTAACGTAAAATAGCAACGTAGACATGAAGACCAAGTTATTGTTTCCTCTACTTTGGTCGCAGTCTCCTTCGATGTATAGGAGTAATCTGACCTTGTTGGTCATATTGGTAGGAAGACCACTTTGTCCGAAGTCCATGGTATGCATGATTATTTCCATATTCGAACCGTAGACTTAGTACATTCCTACAAGTTTCGCCGGCATTGTCAGTGAGCCTTGTCATTCTTAGCATCCGCAGGAAAATGGATACTAAAAGATCCGATATAGCGGAACAGATCGCAGATATTGGGCACGAGATCATTTGGAAGGCGACAGAAAGAAGGGCCTCACGCAGTGAAAACACACAGAAACGAAACATTAGGGAGGCCATTGACATTCTTGGGGGAAACGAAATTAATGAACACGAGATTGGAAAAAGGTAAAATTAGTGCTAACCATACCTACTGCCTAATCAAACTCGGAGAAGACAAGGATGTAAAAAGACAATCAAAAAAAGAGACGCCCAGATCAAGGATCTGTCGTGAACCAGAGGAAAAGGGATCGCAAAGAAGAAGAGGGTGAGGAATTTTTTCGGAAATAAAGCAAAGACGTTTTCAGTTAATGTAATCAACTCGAATGAAAAATTACAATTTTGGAAGCCTAACGTTTAACGTAACTAGGGAGAGTGATTGGGTCACAGAAATGGGGAATTATGACCAAATTGACTAATAATCCACTCGAGATGCAGCAGGCGACAAGAGATAGATGCCCACAGTTTGCTCAGAGTACATGAGTTTTATCCACGAGATGATGGGTGAAGGTAATGCCTAATATCCGCAAGCATGGGAATATGCTAGGATGAGGGTGGGGCAATCGAAAGTGAAATGAATAGAGGGGTCAGGATTGAAAGGTGAATGGTAGCACAACCGTTTCGGCAGAAAGTTGGTCAAGGAATTGACTTTATTTATCTCTTTGACGAATGGAAATTTTGTCCTGAATATGACAAAACTGACTGGCGATGCCGGTGAAACAGCTGGGAATGTATCAAGTCCATGGTTCGACTCGGGAGATTGTATGCATGCTATGAACTGCGGACAAGATGCGTTCATCAAAGTCTTCCTGCCAATATGACCAAGTTGCAAGAACAAGTAGAAATGGGAAGTTCTTATTGTTTGTTTGATTAATTGGATTGGAGACTCTTTTCGGATTCACTGCGTCTCAAGGATGTCGTCTTCTCTTATCAAGACCTCCAGCAGTGCCATAAGTACTTAGTCACCAAGGCTGTTGGTGTACAACGACTATACATCAATTCTCATCCATAGTTTGTTTCCCTTTCAACTGGTGTCTTTTAATTTTTTGTTAAAATTCGTACGAACTCTTCATCGTATTCGATAATCTGTCATTCAACTGCTCTAACTTGAGGCGGATAAATTTCTCCAGTTTATGTGTTGCCCCATAATTGTTGTGCATTATCAGCCCCAATATTCCTCATTCTTTGAGCACTTTTAGTGAATTAAATATCAATTTGTCAATTTCCCCGTTTGCATTCATTTGTTCAGCATTCTTTCAGGTCCACTTTTGGTTGGATGTTTTGCTAACAGGGAACATGTTGTTGTGTCGCATAGAATATTTTTCATATATACCTTCCCATTCATCACTACTTTGGCATTTCCTTTGTCGAATTGTAGAGCTGTTTAAGTTTTTCTCTTCAATTTTCTTTATAGCTTCGTTATATCTTTTCTATTCATGGGTTTTTGAGGCGCCAAGATTGTTGGGATAAGTTAAACTTCCAGCGCTCATTTTGGTTCTTTTGTCAAATTCTCAAAGTTACCTCCACTAAAATGTGCCTAATAATTTCCCAACAATTTCCTTTAGGGTGGCTCTGCTTTGGATCTGAAGATGTGTCCGCCCAAGCCGGGAAAATGGGTCACCGATATGACTTGGCTGAACCTAATCGCGTTGAGTCGACTCAACGAATTCACTTCAATCGTCAGTCAGGTTCAGGCGGCCGAGAAGCAATGGCGCGCTTGGTTTGATAAAGAGGCGCCTGAAGATGAGCCGGTGCCATGTGGCTACGAGATGACACTTGACGCCTTCCGTCGGCTTCTGCTGGTGCGCTGCTGGTGTCCGGATAGAACACTTCAGCAGGCGCGAAAGTACATTCTACATGCATTGGGACCTAGCTTTATTGAGGATGTGCTGGTCAACATGGAAAGGTGAGCTGATCTGAAAGTGTATGCTTCATGTTTTTGTCTTTAGGCAAGGTTGACCAGCTGATGGTGTTGCAGTAGCTCAGCTTGGTTGACGATATGATTCTGATTTTCGTGTTTACGTACATTATCAAAAGGTTCGTTGAATGATCTTACAAGAAGACGAATGCTGATTTCTGATGTTCTGCAGCCGTTTGACTTTAATACAACGTTTCGATTGACGAAGTACACGAGACATCCTCCCTCGTTGCCGGTAAAAACGATCGATTTTGTGAGAGCTGGAGATCATCCTTGCAAAATCTTTACGTTAATAAGACTATTCGGCTCTATTCTGAATGCTACAAATATTCATAACTGAGGCGAAACAATACTGACTTATTTTTCGAATTAAGTATTGTTTTTCGTGACTACTAGTATATCAGTAATATGAAATGTATTCACCCAAGGTATATAATTCAAGGCCTTTCCACTGCATAATATAGTATCTGTGTTAGAATCCTCACAATTTTGGAGTAAAACTTTGTTGGTCTAGGCTGTGCAATAAGTTGGTTTGGCTTAACAATACAATTGAACCTGCCTCCAATGGGTTTTTATCCTCGATCGAATCTAGTTTAGACCACACCTCAGCGCCTCTCGACGGGACTCGAACCATGGCCGTGCACACGCAGTGGCGAAACACTACAGCTCAGCAACATAGGCGTGGGCTTCAGTGGTCTACTGGGCAGATGCGGCTTTAAAGGCAAATTAGGCCTTTATCAAATTACTTTCTATGGAGTTATGAGGCAGGCATCGAGGACATCACTTATATACGTTGAGTATGTTTTGAGATGTATTCACCCGATTTCGTTTAAGGTGATAAATGACTGGTAGAAGAAGAATTTTCCCACAATCATATGAGTTGAGCTGACACTTCCATTTAATTTCGCATAGCCTTGCTTTCCCAAAAGTTGTTCTCATCTCGGTCGGAATGGACTGCAGTTTCGACCTCGAATTGTTTTTATCAACACCCCCAGTGGGAGTCGAACCGCGACAGTGCAGGATGGGAGCTTGACACGCTAATCACTCGGCTACACTGCCACGTGCGCCTTTTTTTGGGTCACAGGGCAAATGTTAATTTTCAACCAAGGCCAGGCCTTTTTGCCATATCATACTCTTTGGTGGGATTGTCGATGAAGCAAACATATATTTGCTATAACATCATACATCTTACATCTCATATAACTGATTTAATGGTAGTTTCGAAGCAATACTTCATGCGAAAAATAAAGTATATTAGTCGATTGTCATGGCAAATAAATATTTGCTTCATCGACAATTCCACCAAAGAATATGATATGGCACTCTTGGAAATGTGGCCGAGTGGTTAGTGTGTCAAGCTCTCATTCTGCACTGTCACGGTTCGACTCCCACTGAGGATGTTGATAAGACCGATGCGAGGTCGAAACTGCAGTCAACTTCAGTCTGGATGAGAACAACTTTTGGGAAAGCAAGGCTATGTGAAATGCAATGGAAACGTCAGTTCAACTCATATCATTGTGAAAGAATTCTTCTTCTACCAGTCCTTCATCACCTTAAGCAAAATTTGGTGAATACATTTCATTATATTGATTTAGTTTAATCGGTGTGAATACCAAGTGGATGTGACCTTTATCGTGGTCTCCGTCTCTTCCTATTGTATAGAAGTTGTTTATCTTTTTTTCGCAATTTGGTCGTATTGGCTCAATGAGGATGCCGGCGAAACGTCTGGTTATGTATAAATTCCATGTTTCGACGTTGGAAATTATCATGGCCACTATGGACTCTGGACAAGCTGCATTCCTCTAGGCCTCCCTTAGAATACAAACAAGTTGCGAAAGCAGTGTTAAACAGCTTCAATATAGATATAGATAGATATACATTGATTTGGGCAATCCTTTTTAACATATAAAAATATTTTTATTAATATATAATCTAATATTTATATTAATTCTAAAATTGATTGATATTACTATTAATAATCTATCACTTATTATTATTGATATTTCTTAGTATTTTTACTGTTGCATCATAATTTTAATAAATATTATGAGTATAATTATATTATTCTTAATATATTAATATATGATAAGGCACGAAACAAATCATTCTATACCATTCCATATCTCTATAGTTTCGTTTTCACTTATGAGTATACATAACATGTAAGCTAGAGCCGGCTAATCTTCTTGACCTCGTGTTAACGTGAAGCTATTCCAAGAATCACTTCTGGCAGTCACGACATCCGTCGATTGGCACTGCTGACAGGAGCTCAGCCTCTTCTCATTTGAAGCGAGGGAGGATCTCTCGTAGACCACGTCAATTGACTCGCCGTGGCCAACCGACTGCAAAACAACGATGCTTGACCGTTGTCTTCTGACTAGATCAACTAACATATCTTTTCACCATACACTTTCATAGGCAACGGAAGTCTATACAATGCCGTCAACTCAAGATGCTCACCGAAACCCAGTTACTCTTCCCATATGAATACTTTAGATTAACCATGTATGTAGACAAGGCGTCTAAAAATGGTATGAATAAACCCCCGATCACTGAAACTATGCGAATAAAATTTGGATTTCGACGAATCTCTTATTTCATAATTGTAGAGCTTACTTACCTTTTGAGTGAAAGTGTTTGCTGAAAAGATTCAAGGGTAGCTCCGACCAGAGGATCGCCAAGGCTTATTGACCCAATGAAAGCTATAAACGAGAATGTATAAGCACACGAGTAACTTTTATTTAAATGATGGCATGTAAGCCTGTACATATGTAAGTCAGATTACAAAACGTACTATAATGTAAAAATAGAAATATGAAAGAAAAGTAATAAGCTACTTCTGTATCTATATATTTTCTATTTCAGCTAAGAGTATACATAGCAGGCTTGATTGAGCTGGATAGTCTTATTGACTTAGTATTAGTTTGAAACTTTTGTCAGGATGTGAGACCATCAATCATTAAGGTTTAATGATCCAGCGTAACCATGACTGGGACTGTGTACCCTTGTAAGTCTGATTGGGTTGATAAGATTAGCATAATTGTTGAAGTAATGTGAATGGTAGTATAGCCATAATCGAGGTGATAATGTGACTTTTATTATTTCGTTTGGCGTCTTTACGCCCTGGCTCCTTCATTCTTTCAATCAAGCCTAGGTAGTTGTTGAATAATAGCCTACTCAAATAGAATTAAGTAGTTCATACCCAACCTATTCCATCCATTCCATGTATTTGGCATATTTCCTATTCTATTGATTTCAATAGCCTCTCTTGCTTACCAAAATTAGTAGACCTATGCACTCGAGACTATTTGATCCCTTGTTCATTTTTTATTCTGTGTTCGGCCACATCTGACAGCTTTAATCTCTTCCATTGTTTTATTAGCCCTCGCAGCAGGATTTTAATTGTATGTGTGTGTATGTGTATGTCCGGTTTAAAATGTAAATATGTTATCTCCTCACCCACAAGGCTTTAGAGCCAATCAGCTGGCCAACATGCATAACTTTGAAGGGAGTCTTGCGTGAATGATTTATTGTCTTGGACCCTAATATTATTGAACTCATTTCCATTTTGAATGAAGGCTAGTCAAGAGGAATCCACCACTGTCTTTTGGTGGGAACGATACTCTAATCTCTTCATTTATTTAACACAACTTCACTCGAAATTGATGCACCAAGAGATTCTTTCTAATCCTTTTTTGTCATTTGCTTGTATGCATTAACGATTTTTTGTTAGTAGCCGGTTGTCATTATGCATCATTTTCATGTATTTCTACCTGCATGAAATGAGGCTATGTTTGTGTGCCGAAAGAATAGATGTGTTTCTACCTGAAGCGGAACATTAACTGTCGAAAATAATGTCCAAATTCAGAATAAAGAGCTGTTTTGATGCAGTGAGACTGAGCAATAAGGTTACCTGCAAGAAAAGTTGATTTTCCATCTTTTTTGCCCCCTGTCTCCTCGATCCCACTTTTCATTCACAGTCTCGTGGAG